TTATTGAGGAGTTTTCTTTCTGTCGGTTACATCGTCTTGGTCCCGTGCATTTACTCCACTTGCTCAGCCGGGTGGTGGAGATAAGCCACGGAAGTGAGTGAACGTAAGCGTCCGAATTAATTTAACCAAAGTCAGTTGCTCTCCACCTGATTCCACCGTCCACCCGTCTCAGAGTCTCTCTCCTCTCTTGTCTGATTAGGTCCGCCCTCCTCCCTCTTAGTTTCTTCTTTCCCTCGTTTGAACCTCTTTATTCTAATCATCTTTATTATTTCGCTTTCCTCGCCACACCGTTCTTATCCCTCGTTCTATTCCTCTTCCCCCCTTCTCTTCTCTCAATTCTGGATACACCTTGACCCTCTCCTCGGGGTCTCGATCTGATATCCTTTTTTCCCCTGGCAGCCGCAACGCGTGTCCCCCGACGTCAACCTTCGACACCCACCTATCAATGTGCAGAAATTGACTTGTCCCTGCGCCGTATCTCGCCAGACCTTTCGACCTTTACCGGTCGTCCGCGGCAAAATTCACCATTGACAACCAGCGTCAACCCTGTTGTTTGTGGAGGACTATGCCCAATCCCTCCGTCCATTCTTTTTCATAAAAGACGTTTTCCGACGTATGATCCTATCGTAACGCTCACGACTTGACGTCCGTTCGAGCCTTTCACTCTTTTTGAATCATCAGTACACGTTCATTACGCCGTTGACCGGCCAGCCATTCTTTTTACCTGTGTTGCCAGCCTTTTCATTTTAACGACGATTCCCAATATCCGCATTTTCTTTTTACTTCTTATTCCTCTTTTATATTCAAACTGTCATCATGTCCCTCTACTCAACCAACCCGTCTTTAACCTCTCACGGTAGGTCCTTCTGGCTCACTGCATCGCTTGATGTACTGACTTTGATCGACGTCTAGTCCTGTCCGGTCGATCCTGTGTCACCTGCGATTCAACTGCCCCGACGTGCCCGTCATGCCCTTCTGGCGAAATATGTACCATGATCAGTCAGTCGTGTGACCAGTGCGCCACCACGAAATGTGTTAAGACGTCTAGCGGTTCAAGCTCGCAGGGTAGCTCGTCGGGGGGAAGTAACGCGGGGGCCATCGCCGGTGGTGTAGTTGGTGGTCTCGCTGCCTTGGCCATCGTCACGTTTCTGGTATGGTGGTTCGTCGTCCGCAAGAAGCGTCAGGAATTAGCCGAACAACAAGGAACTAGCGATGCAGAAAAATCCAGCACATTCGCCGATGCTCGCCAAGCACGGAAGTCGACCAATTCGATTGCGTCTACCGTGCTCACTCGCGCATCTAACGTCATTCAGATCGCCTATATCCCCGGTGTCACCAACCGCTCGCCCCCAGAAACCCCCCTGGTGCCGCCTGTGCCTCCGCTTCCAGGAGCTGGCCCCGATCAGCATTTCTTCATGCCGGGTGACCTACGTGACTCGGCCTGGTCCGAGGCCTCCCGCCAGCATCGCAGCATCGCCCCCAGTTTGCGTAGCAGCGTTGCCACCACGATATATCGGGATAATGCGATTGTGAGCCCCATGCCGGCCCAGCAGGCTATGCGTACCCGAGCCGCCGTGGTCAGCATTCACAACGGTGGTAACCCACCGGGATCCGGAAACATGCTGGCTCCTCCCGATGCGCCTGCGGTTCCCGCCATCACGCAAGCACAGCTCGCCCGCGCCGGTATCAGCGAGTCGAACAGCAATAGCTCTATCGTGGCACGCACGGTCACCGCTAAACCGGTTATGGTGAAGGGCAGCATCAAAAAGAAGAATAAGGATCCGAACAGTAGTAACACGCCTACGCCTAACGCTACATCGCCCGCCGTGCAAACGATTGCAGAGCAGTCAGAGCCATCGACCTCGGCTGCATCGAGTACGAAGCCACCATCTGGCCCGACCTCGGGATTTGACGCCAACTCGTCGGACGAGGAAGAAGCCGCTGCGAAGAACATCCAACGTGGAAAGGGCGGATCACCAGCGCCTAAGAGCCCGACGGTAATTGAGGATTCACCCGCCGTCGAGCAGAGCCCTTTCCGCGATCAATCAGCCCCCCAGACAAACCAACGCGCATCGGCGCGCTTGTCTCGACTCGAGGCCGATGAGGGCACAAGATCTAATCGAAGTAGCCGAATCCCACTCGAGCGGACGGAGAGTCCATTTTCCGACGCCAACGAGGTGAAATGAGTTCCGCGCATGCTTTTGTCTCTTGTTTTTCGATGTAATCTGGGTCCTGGTTGGCGACTATTGGCGTATGAGCACGTTTGGGTCAATTGACCATGTTATAGAAGCTATGTTATCTTGCACCTTTCTTGTATCTATGATCCGCTATGGTATTTGGATCGATTATAGGTCTTCCGATCATTTAGGAATTACTACGGGATTGGCCGTGAATCAGAAATCAATTATCCCTTGGCTGTCTACTCTTTTCCTAGCAATTCCACACCACCCTTGGTTCAGGAGGCTTCTGCCCGTCCCGGTACCAGAACCAGGAAACAACAACTTGGAACCAATCATGTTCCCGACGTGGTTCGTGTCTGGTCCAAAACAAACATCTGACCAGATGAGACAAAACCGCAAACATCGATCTTCATTCCAGGAGCACATAAGCAAATAAACATCCCACCCCAGGTTAGATCTCACCCCCATTCTCACCCTGAAACAATCCCCACATCATCTCCGATCTTCGCCCAGACTGCGGAGATCAGAACGACCCAAGAAGCATAGACGCAAAGATGGTCCTGTTTCAGATGAACTTTATTAAGATCTGCGGAAGGGGCGTTGTAAAAGCCACAGGGGGTGTCTTTCTCTCTTTATATATGCACCTATTGTCCGTTAGCTCGATTTAGTCTACCGTACCTAGCCTAAGAAACAGATCGTAAATCCTGTAGACCCTGCAACTATATCCTCTAATCTCCGTTGCACTCTAAAACACCTCTAATTATTTTTACTTTATTTTGGAGTGAGATCAAGCAGAATACCTAGAATCTAAACAGTATATACAAAGACTATCCACCGATACTAAGCCGTGTGGTCAAAAAGGTCTTTACAAAGCGCGTCTTATTACTGGAACCTAAAAAAAAACCGTATCCCATTTAAGCAAAACAATGAAAAGTCCTATCAATAATCTACTAGTTAAACGATTATAAAATATACAAAAGTTATAAGCTACAAAAGATATCGTTAAAGCGTAGAAGAAACGCGATACAATGGTGGTGAAAAAAGGTCTGATACGGAAAAAGAGGACGAAAGCCGGGGACAGCAGGCCTCTTACAAAATCGGAGGAGAAGCGAAAGGCGGAGCAAGAAATTCAAAATTTTTTTTGCCATCAGGGCCTCGAAGGCAAACGCACCAGGGCTTAGATAGAAAATCCAGCGGAACTAAATGTGCGTTGATTTGCACGGTACTAAATATCTACTATAGTTAAAAAGATAGTGGATAGCGGACTTCATGGACGCAATACCGAACTTGCTGGAAAGGGATCCCACGGCACGGAATAGTTGCATGTTGCGGAGAGTAAAGGCGATAAGAATGATCCAGAAGGCAAAGAAACGACCGGCATCCATATGCAACCCTGCCATGAAGTACAGCATGACGGATAAAAGAGAAATCTGAAGAGGACCCATAATTAAATCGGTGATGGCGTTGGCGATAACGAAGGCTATTTGGCGGTAAAAGCACCAGTTGTCTCAGAGAGAGTATCCAGAAGAAAATACAGAACCGGAAAAAGGAGTGAGACGGGGGAGAAGGAAAATCGAAGAGCAGTCCAATTTTAGGTTGTAGAACATACTTCAACAAACCAGAGCCCGAAGGATAGAGGTCACGATTTTGATAATCAAAGACAGTTGGCCGTCCATTTCGATTTGAAATTGCCCGTGTAGGCACTCTGGGGTCGAGGCAGGTTCTTCTTCCGCTTCTCTTGAGCGACAGCGACCTTCTAAGTTGTATCTCTTCCTCGCTCGTCAGCGTTTCGGGTGGTATGATATGCTGCATCATATCAATGTAAGTTTTGCTCTCACGGGACTGAGTCTCAAATTCCTCGGGAGAATTTGGTACTGTTCCTTCCATCCCCGGCTTGATGATACGCTCTGTTATAACAGTAAATGAGGTCAAGAATTCAGCAATATAGAACAATACTTCAACCGTCCATGGCGAGGCACCCTGTTCAAATTTCGTTGTGAGTGCGTCTATCTTTAACTTTCTAATGTAACTGAATAAGTTTGTCTAACTTGGTTTTCGTTCACTCGAGTTTTGATGGGCCCGGGTTTTGATAACAAACGGCTTTTCTTGTCACAACTAAAGCTCCCCCTGGGTAGCATACTCAATCATTATCTACATGAAATGGACAGCTGAAATCCAAGGGTAAAGGTTTAAATTTTTCTATTCAGCGGCAAAATTCCAACCAGACTCGAGATGGAAAACAGCTCCGTGGGTGATTTCGAAATTCTCGAACTCGAAACGGGAACCATGTCTATCCACGAACGACGCAAGACATTAACTCTAAAAGAATGGGAAGGATTCTTTAACCCAACTATAGGCAGATTGCAGGTCACTGTTAAGGAGGTAAAAAAGAGAGTATTCTATAGGGGTCTCGATCCGAACGATAGCGTTAGAAAGCTAGCTTAGCTTTTCCTTCTCGGCGTATATCTATAGAATAGCTCCCGTGATAAACATTAAACTCTTATAAATTCCAAACGGGATAAGTATATTCGGTTAAAGGGTGCCTGGTAGGAAACGATAGTCAAGGAATATTCTACTGAGAAGTAATATAAGTAGTGGAAAGAGTAGAGGAACTATATTGGTATATCTTCTTTACACACTGTTGTACTGTCTCTCTTACTAAACTTATCAATTATAGAAAAGGATATACATCGTACCGACCGCACAATTCCTCTCTTTGCTGGGGAAGATATTCCTCGACTACTGAATGGCCCCTTTCAGCCGAGCAAACCCATATACCATGAAACACGTCCAGAGCTAGTTGTTTTTCTAGTAGCAGGATCACAGACGATCCCCAAGAGCGGCGAGAGAGTCTCTATAATACTTGAAAAGCGGCCAATCGAGGATTCTCCTCCAGGGACTATTTAATAAGCACATGCTTCCCAAACTACCAAGGAAACCGACAAACAAGATAGCAAAAATTGTACGAATCGAAAAGCGAGATACTCTCTTGACCTCCTGTAAGCAGCGTTAGTAATCAAAGGACTAAGAATCTACGGTTTTTACTCCACTGACCTGTATCTTCCAATCAGACCAGTTTGGGAACACACTGCGCCACCAGTAGTATGCCTGGCTCCAAGGATAGGTCATTGAGTTCCACTTCTTATCGTTCATGTACCACTATGCTCAAGACATAAGTATAGGTTAAGTCATTTAAAGTATACGTGGACTTCCTCACCGCATTGCAACCAGCATTCCAGACGCGTTTCCTTAGAGCGTCCTGCACCTGATACACATAGTCTTCTTCAGACTTGGCCTTGACTTCAACGGTTGACGCTTCTCCATTGAACACAGACTTCAGGACTCGAAGAGAGTAGTTGACCGAGCTGTTTATTATTGTGGCTATATTAGCACCTGTCCCGGGAAACCAAATTTCTGTAGCCCAACTTACTTTTCCGCCGCCATTAAGGAAGAAGTATGACCGGTTGCTGAATTAGGCCCGAGTAGCATAAAGAAATTTGGGAATCCATGCACGGCTGTAGAATTGTAGGCCGCAGGCCCATCGTATTGAAGCCAATGTTCTGTCAAGCTCTTGCTATCCCGCCCGATGACGTCCATATAGGGAACGAACTTGTTAGTCTGGAATCCTGTCGCAAGAACAATCACATCAGCAGGAAGTAAGCCCTTGTCCGTCATAAGTCCCTCTGGAACAATTTCATGTATTTTTGCATCAGTAAGAAGAACTTTCTCGTTCTGCAAGGAGTTGAGATAGCCAGTATCAAAGACGCGTCGCTATATTCATATCAGACCATTATAATAATCTTCAGATCGAAAGAGAAATCAGTGGTTTCAATACCTTGCAACCATAGTCAAAATCTGGAATCAGGAGATCATGGTATTTACTGGGCGCTGTTTGGCGTATGTACTTTTCAGCAGCATGTTTCCGGGTTTCTCTTTTCTGAGCAGCAAACTTCGTCATTCGAAACATAGAGAAGTCACTCTCAGCTATAAGGAAGATGTGAAACCGATGCAATTTCATTGAAAATGGTACGTGTCGGAACACCCACTTTAGGAATGGAGAGTAGGTAAAGTTGGCGGCCGGTACAATCCAATGCTTTGATCTAATGACCTGCGTCAAGGATTTAACCCTGCCCACCAGAGCAGGAACAATCTGGGCAGCAGTACCTATAGCCATGATCAGCTCTGAAAGGGAAAGACTGATGCTTCAATGCGGAGGGCTTACACCCATTCCCAATAACGACAACATTTTTTCCTTCCAATTCCACATCATGGTTCCATCTGGCAGAATGAAAGATATCCCCCGAAAAGCTGCCAGCTCCTTGAATATCGAACGTACGAGGTTCGACGAGCTGTCCGCTGGCTGCAAACAAAATTTGACACTCGTGCGTGAATTCACGGCCAGTTATGCGATCATGAACGAATAGCTGCCAGCGCTTCACGTCGTCCCTCCAGATGCTCCTTGTTACTTCAGTGGAGAATGAAATCTTGTCGTTGAGTTTGTACTCCTCTATCACTGCATCAATATACTCTTTAATCTCCTGACCAGAAGGCATGAGTTTGGTCCAACTTGGATTCGGGGCAAAAGATAGACTGTAGAGGGCGCTAGGAATATCACAAGCACAGCCTATATTGTGAGTTAGAACCGAATATGGAAGCTCGGGTAGTCGTATTTACCTGGGTAAGAATTGATAAACCATGTTCCCCCACTAGAGGGATGTCGCTCAAAGAAGCGAATGTTATCGACGCCGTACCATCTTTGCAGTGTCGCCCCAAGAGCGATCGCAGACAGCCCGGTGCCTATACAGGCGACCTGACTGACCGTAGAAACTTCAGCGAAATCTTTGGAAGCCATGATGCTACACGAAGGAAGTTTGCTTGTCTGAAATATATACCTAGGTCGTGACAATCGAGAGCCGAGGACTTCGTTGGAAACCGTTGAATTGTTGAAAATGGGCCTCGGTTTGGGGGAACATGGTGAGGTAATAATTCTCTCTGCAGTGTGGTCTCGTATCTATCTAGCCGATCACTTCGTACGGGCATCATGATACTCTCGTAAGGTCGTCGATAACCAGGCCCTATCGGGAGCAATCAATAGAGAACAAAATATCTCACCGGGAAATTGAGAATTCTGCCCAGAAGGTGGTACCAGTGCGAACGCGGTGGCGACTTTAGAGTATCCCCTAGGATCTGCCATCAGCCAGCTTGTTAGTTGCTTCTAGGCAACTAGTCCGGACGAAATCCCTACTATAATTCTAGACGCGTCCATCATGGTATGTCGATTCTAGGTGCCGTACATTGACGTGGAGCACAAAGGAAGGAATGGCAGTGGCCGAGATCTGGGCATTCCGACTTGCCATCTCGTATGGGCGTAGTGGAGAGATAGCGGCGAGAGTGGATCGATTCTGAGCCTATTTTTGCCTCGTATGTAGTGGAGGTGTCTGGAAAATCACTACTAGTTCATGGGCTCCGCAATTTTGAAATGAAAGCGCCAAGGTCACTCGAATTCCGTCGGCTTCGTAATTGCTATTGGGTTATATTTTAATAAAACTACTCATCCGATATGGAAAACGTGCTGCGTAGCCCTGCCACGGTACCACTACATCCATACGAGGCGGCAAATCGGAATGCCCAGGTCTCCAATTAACATCGAGTGGGACACCTGGGGTAGCTTTAAATATGGACGGGGTACTCGGCTCCCTGATTGCCCATACGAGATCTTCTGGAATTAAACTATGATTGGCAATTCACAATCGCCGAGCTAATGATAAGTTTGTATCAGTTTGCGGAACATCCTTCAATCATGACCTTGACCGAGGCGATAAAAAACTTGGTTAACTAGTGGAATAATTAAGCATGTGAATTTCCGTGGTTGTCATAGTAGGCATCAAAATATAAATAGAGCAGAAGCAGGCAACTCTTGGAGAAAAAAGATTAATTTGATCAACGAGAAGCCAGACTAGTCGTTCGAGGGAAGACTTTAAACCTACGAGCAGGATGGCCTCTTTACCGGAACAGAACTTCCAGGTTGTTATTGTTGGGGCAGGGCTGAGTGGCCTGCGCGCAGCAATGGAGCTCGACAAGGCTGGCATAAGCTATATTGTGCTTGAGGCCATGGATCGTGTCGGTGGAAGGACTCTTTCTGTTCCAGCATCATCATTGAACGACCCTGGGCTAGTCGAAATGGGTGCTGCATGGCTGAATGACAGTAACCAGTCGGACATGTACACCTTGTCAAAGGAGTTTGGTTTCAAACTTATCCCACAGGTATCAGATGGTCTTTCTCTCTACCAAGACCGGGATGGCAGGATCAGCCCAATGGAGTATGGGCTCCCCATTCCTGTAAGTGCACTTTGGATTCAAATCTCGGGACATTGGTGGGGATAAAGACCACTGACATTCCAATCATAGTTCTCTGATAATCAAAAGGTTGAGTTCAAAGACTTTATGGCTCAAGTGAGCAGTTACGTGGAACGCTCCGACCTTCAGCGACCTCATCTTGGCCCTGATGCAAAAGAACTAGATTCCATGACCGCCCGCGACTTTATCACCACGAAATTTGGAACTGCACTTGCTGATAAGCTGCTCACTTTGGCTACTCGTTCTTTGCTTGGCGTTGAAAGTGATGAACTCAGTGCCCTCTGCTTCATAGATTATGTCAAGAGCGGCATGGGATTCGATAACATCATTTCGGATCACGAGCATGGGGCACAATATCTGCGCAACGCGAATGGTATCATATCACTTACCCTGACTCTGCATCTAATTTTCTGCTAATTTTTTTCATTTGCAAAAATGAATTAGGGAATCAAAATTTTGCTACCAATCTCGCCGCGAGACTGAAAAACGGCAGGGTGAAGTTATCGGCCGCTGTGAAGAAGATTTATCAGTCTGACAATCACTGCGTGACTGAAACTGATCAGGGGTGCTATCGATCTGAGAAAGTGATTGTTTCAGTGCCGAGCAACCTTTACTCTCAGATAAAATTCGAGCCGGATCTCCCGTCATCGAAGCAGATTCTGAGAAATTCAAAAATGGGCTATTACTCTAAGACGGTTCTGATCTTCTCTGAGCCGTGGTGGCGCAATGCAGGCTTATCAGGAGAGTTCAGTTCAGAGGAAGGCACTATTTCATTTTCCCGGGATACAAGTGTGCCGGAGCTTGGAAAATTCTGCATTACCTGCTTTCATGTCGGAAATCCTGGTCGATATTGGTCGCTGCTGCCCGACAAGGAGCGGCAGGCCCGGGTATGGCATCAGTTCCATGCGGCATTTCAAACCATCGTGGATTGTGTTCCGGAACCCATTAAGATTGTCGAGAAGGAATGGGCCAAGGATCCCTGGGTCCGTGGGAATCCAATGCCGGTGATGATGCCCGGAGTCATGTCAAGCTCTGCCGGTCAGTCAATCCGAGATCCGTTTGTTAACATCCATTTTGTGGGAACCGAGACGTCATTCGTGTGGAAAGGGTACATGGAAGGTGCGGTTCGATCGGGGGTTCGCGGTGCTGCGGAGGTAATTGAGGCACTCGCTATCGCCCCTTAGGTAGCATGTCGCATATGGAGTAGTGACATATCTTGCGTGGTCCGTGATTTACAGGAGTGGCGGCAGTAAACGTACTGTCATAAATATAACAGGCCTGTCTGCAAATATTCCCGTATATGATCCTCATCAAAGCTTTGCCTTAATTCAAATATTGAAACCCCCGCCCGCCTCAAAATGTGGCTATGGGTTGGGCTTGGATCTATTTCGGCTGCTGAACCGAAAGGGCAACTATCACTGATATATACATGCTTTAGCTAATGCTGTGCCACCCTGGAGCCCAAAATTGGTCTTAGATGCTTGAGATGGTTAAGCGGCTAGCACAATACCATGGAGAAAGGGAAGCTCTTCTAGTAGTTGCTAGTGGTGATGTATGGTGAGGATTTTTGGCAAAATTGATTAACGTAACTGGTAAGCCGCTTGGCCTTAGAAGCCGCTCGGCCACTATACCAGAATTCTACGTGTTATATATTTTGAAGCGATTCAATTATCTACTATATTAT